ATCGTTAATGAAACAGATGCGACGTGAGACTGAAAGCTTTAATCGTTGGAAGAAAGCGAAGGAACAGGAACTAAGTAAGTTAAAAGACCAAGAAAGAAAGCGTCAGTATCAGATGATGCGAATGGAAAATCACTATAGTAAGCAACAGAATGTCTTGAAGAGAAAAGTAGAGGAAGCCCATGCTATTAATAAACGGTTGAAGGTAATTTACTCCAATCCTAACATTCATATGGCAATATGGAGTGTAGAGAAGATGAAAAATAATATTTATTTAATATCCTTCAATCTATAGGAAGCATTGGAGGTACAACGCAAAGTTAAACAGCATAGCAGTGAGAAAAATACAAACACAGAAAATATTAAAGACTGGATCAATCAAGAATTGGAATTACTATTTAGTGTCAATAACGCAGAACTCACTCTTCAGCGTTTGTTACAAGATAGGTCAGATCATGCCGTAAAATTAGAAAAGCTTAAGACTGACAAAATGGCTCGGGAATCTCCCACATATCAAAATGATTTAGATGAACTCGTACAGAATGTTGAATTGCGAAGTGCACAAATAGCACAACTGCAACGCGAGATTTTAGAATCTGACCAAGGTAAAAAAATATACAATTATTTAATTAAGTTTATAAAAAATTAAAAAGGGCAGTTGCGTATAGATTCACATGCATCCGATATTTGATTTTATAGAGAATAGGTGTAAGTCACGATGGCAGACTGTGAGGTCCATGGCCGATGCCAAGACTGCTCTTAATATTGTCTTCGAAATAGTAGGAGATATACATAAAAGAGAAATTGCAAAAAATTGGGAATACGAGGAACTGATAGTAAGTTAATCTTAATAATCATATTCTCCTTCAGTATTATTTTAGACATGTAAAAAAGGGAACGATGTTCCTCGTTATAAATTAGATATCAAACATCTGATATAAGATTTAATATGAACTAATTAATTACAGGACACATGTGATCAGCAACATCTTAAGATTCGGCAAAGTGAACTTCAAGCAATTGCATTAAAAGCAGAGTATGAGCAAAAACTTGCAAAGCTCCAATCTGAATACGAGCAGGATGTTATGGATTGTATAGAACATCTTCGGGGTACTAATGAAAATTCCAATATTGAAAACACTGAGAACACATGGTTGAAACGTGAATTGAAAATGTACAAAGAACGTTGTCAAGCCTTAGAGCAGGAACGCGAGGAAGCTTGGAAAAATAACGAATCGGCCAACGTAAGGAAATATTATCTTTAGATATAAAAAAAAAAAACATTTTTATAATTCTTTAATGATCATGACTTTTTCCTACTCGGATATTTATGTCACAGAACTCGAAAGCTACTGGCCATACAAAAACGAAAAAGTCTAAATTCACGGTTGACGAAAACCAAGATCCACGAGTAGTTTGGAAAGATATTTTTTCAGATGATAGTTTTGGCGCCGATGACGATAATGATAATGATCCTGATTGGAGAAAAACACCACTATACAAACGAACTAGAAAAACCGTAGTAAGTTACTATAATATTTATTTAATGTTTTTGTTACGATTTTGTTAAAATTATGAAGCTTCTATTTATCTATAATCAGTATGTTCCACTATCGTCGTTCTAGCAATTTTAACTGTAATTAAATGATATCGTTACTATCAGTATATTTTGTGTCTTATTTTAGAGCGTGTTAACAGATTTAAGCAAAGATGATGTTCAACCTTTAAAACGATCATCCGGCGGAGAGATCAAATGTTCGTGTAAAACGAACTGTTCCACGCGGTTGTGTACTTGTCGTCGTCATAAAACATCCTGTTCAAATTGTAATTGTCAAACAGATATATGTAAAAACAGAAACACAAAAACTGTAAGTAATATAAATTAAGTATTCAATGTTTCATGTATTTGAAATATTAAAAAATTTATTTTGTTCAATCCTAGACGGAATTCGACTATTTCCCAGATGATCCGCGAGACACTACCGTGGACGATGTCGCAAAACGTCTGAAATTAGAATAAATGTACAATTGTTTTTTTAACAAAATATTGTTTTGATTTGTATTATTAATTAAAATTGTATAACCTTTGATTATGTTTCAGGCACGCCTAAGCTTTAGCATGTTAACTTGTGAATTTTATCTTAACATTAACATTAAATGCACTATTGAATAGTGAATTTTAATTAATATCATAGGTATTCAAAAAAAATAATTTTTATTCTGTAGACGTTACCTGTTAAGGTGGTCCGGTTATGGTAATAGAGATGGTCAGATTGAAACAGGTGGTAAAAGAAAATTGTAAGATTTTAGGTTCAACAATAAATGAGTGAAAATATAAGATAATCTCAATCCATACGAGCACAAAATCATTGCGTTCTACCGTACTAAAATGAAGATATTGAACTTTTATATCTCAGAAACTATACGGCAAATCATTTTCAAATATTTAGTTATTATCTGGTAAATATAAAACAATTAAGAATTTTATCTTTAATTGGGTATCATCACGGGACCACCTTAATTTTTGTGTGTGTGTGTATGTGTGTGTGTGTGTGTGTGTGTGTGCGCGCGCGCGCGCGCGCGCGTTTATACTTTAGACTAATTAATTTTTGAAATCTACAATAATACAAATATTATCGAACCATGAAATGTGAATATATGCGCATCATTTATTTATTTACGTAGATATATTTTTATGTACGTAGTACAATTCAAATTCTTATACATCCGTTACTTTTCAACTGTCGAGAGAGTCTTGTAGCGTTATCGAGCATGGTGAAAAATTGTTGAATTCTTTGTATAATTGAAGTATTCTATAATTTTTAAGATTATAGCTTCAGAATTACCAATTGCAATATTCGGAAAAAGTATTAAATGAAATAAAGATTCACTAATCACTTACATAAACAGTACATAGTACAGCAAGTAGACAGTGCAAAATAAACGTAACAGACCATTTCTAACAAGTTGGTCTGTACTTTTAAACGAGTAAGATATTGAAACAGGCTGAATTAAGAAGTTATCCCAGGGTAGTCATACGACTAAAAAATTAGGCGCTTCATAATTTTCAAATGAAACAATTTTGATCAATCAGAAACTTTGTTTCCTAAGGTTTCTGACAAATACCCCAAGCTACATAAAATTGTATAAAATCAGTTACTTAAATAAAAATTGTAACATCTAAACAGTAAATAATTTCATTACTACAGATGGCTCATGAGTGTGTACAAGTTGCTGTCAGAATACGTCCATTGGTGCAATCTGAAATTAATACAGGGTGCCAAGTATGTCTTGATGTTGTTCCGGGTGAACCACAGGTACAATTGCGGGGCACAGAAAAATCTTTTACATACAATCATGTCTTTGGGGCTGATATTGAACAAGAGGATTTCTATAATACTGCTGTCAAAGGAATGGTGGACAATATTTTCAAAGGTAAATTTGATGTATTTTGTATTAACCTACTCGGATATTTATGTCACAGAACTCGAAAACTACTGGCCATAAAAAAACGAAAAAGTCTAAATTCACGGTTGACGAAAACCAAGATCCACGAGTAGTTTGGAAAGATATGTTTTCAGATGATAGTTTTGGCGCCGATGACGATAATGATAATGATCCTGATTGGAGAAAAACACCACTATACAAACGAACTAGAAAAACCGTAGTAAGTTACTATAATATTTATTTAATGTTTTTGTTACGATTTTGTTAAAATTATGAAGCTTCTATTTATCTATAATCAGTATGTTCCACTATCGTCGTTCTAGCAATTTTAACTGTAATTAAATGATATCGTTACTATCAGTATATTTTGTGTCTTATTTTAGAGCGTGTTAACAGATTTAAGCAAAGATGATGTTCAACCTTTAAAACGATCATCCGGCGGAGAGATCAAATGTTCGTGTAAAACGAACTGTTCCACGCGGTTGTGTACTTGTCGTCGTCATAAAACATCCTGTTCAAATTGTAATTGTCAAACAGATATATGTAAAAACAGAAACACAAAAACTGTAAGTAATATAAATTAAGTATTCAATGTTTCATGTATTTGAAATATTAAAAAATTTATTTTGTTCAACCCTAGACGGAATTCGACTATTTCCCAGATGATCCGCGAGACACTACCGTGGACGATGTCGCAAAACGTCTGAAATTAGAATAAATGTACAATTGTTTTTTTAACAAAATATTGTTTTGATTTGTATTATTAATTAAAATTGTATAACCTTTGATTATGTTTCAGGCACGCCTAAGCTTTAGCATGTTAACTTGTGAATTTTATCTTAACATTAACATTAAATGCACTATTGAATAGTGAATTTTAATTAATATCATAGGTATTCAAAAAAAATAATTTTTATTCTGTAGACGTTACCTGTTAAGGTGGTCCGGTTATGGTAATAGAGATGGTCAGATTGAAACAGGTGGTAAAAGAAAATTGTAAGATTTTAGGTTCAACAATAAATGAGTGAAAATATAAGATAATCTCAATCCATACGAGCACAAAATCATTGCGTTCTACCGTACTAAAGCCTGTAAGGTGGTCCGGTTATGGTAATAGAGGTGGTCAGATTGAAACAGGTGGTAAAAGAAAATTGTAAGATTTTAGGTTCAACAATAAATGAGTGAAAATATAAGATAATCTCAATCCATACGAGCACAAAATCATTGCGTTCTACCGTACTAAAATGAAGATATTGAACTTTTATATCTCAGAAACTATACGGCAAATCATTTTCAAATATTTAGTTATTATCTGGTAAATATAAAACAATTAAGAATTTTATCTTTAATTGGGTATCATCACGGGACCACCTTAATCTTAGGATAAACATATTTGTGTCCAATCTATGTATATATTTGAAATAAAAATGTTTCAACCCGTGAATTTGAAATTAGTTGCAAATTACACTTGCATGAGGTACATCTTACAGTTGATGCAAGGAACTACTACCAATGGTAAGCGTTATGAAACCAATTTAAAATAGATTTTTATCTTACTAACTGCAGGTAAATTCGTTGACGTATACAGTTTATGTTGCTAAGCATAGATGCTGAACCTGGTTAGCAGAGCCAAATTTTAGCAAATACAATCACTAAGTATCAGCTGCCAAAGTGAATCAAAAATTAAATAAATATGACTGAAGACAAGGATCGAATCAGTAAATACTTGAAACGCTCTCTCAAAACGATTAAGCCTAATGTAAGATGATTACAATGTTTAATTGTTCTAACGTTAATAAAAATTGTGAGATGTGTAGGACACAACTGGTTAACCATTTTTTAGGTACGCCTTTTAAATTATATGGTAAATATAAAAATTAATTTATATTTGTACAGGAACTGGAGTGTCGTGTTTGTGAGGAAGTATTTTCTGTGGACGGTGCTAAGGTACCTCGATTACTCCACTGTGGGCATACAGTCTGTCATGCTTGTCTTTTACGTCTTCGACCTAACATGACAGACCAACAAATTCTCCTCTGTCCCTTTGACAGACAGCCCACGCAAGTAACTGATAATGGGATATATAGTCTGAAGAAAAATTTTGCCCTGATAGAACTCCTAGAAAGATTGGAGCAATCAAGTACTCAGAAGACTTTAGACCTAGAACGTGAAAGACTGCAGTCTACACAAAATTGTGACGAGGACGAGGAGCATATTGCAGTACTATACTGTACTGTATGTGAAACACATTTATGTGTAGCCTGTGACGTCCTTACTCATTCTATGAGAACTCTTACCAAACATAGAAGAGTTCCTCTATCGGAGAAACCCAGAGAGAAACCAAAATGCCCTATACATACTTCACACATTGCAGAATTTACTTGTACTCAAGAAGGGTGTCACAATGCTCTGTTGTGTTACCTATGTAAAGATTATGGCCGACATAGTATCCATAAGGTATACTAAACAGTTGTCACCTTAACGTACTAAGATACATAAAGAACTAATAATTCCAGCCAAGCCTGGTTGAGATCGAGGCAGAGAATATTAGGAGATCAATCATCGGAGCACTGCAGAAAATGACACAGTTTATGGAAAGCATGAGAGACACAGCACACAAAATAGGTAAGCCTGCTTACAATTTGTCTGTGACAAACTAATACAGCTCTCACATCAATCTACAATTCACATATCTCTACACAGAGATAGTAATACAGGAATTGGAGGGCTGGGCAATAGAGGATGCAAGACAGCGTGTCAGACAGCATTTCGAGGATCTAAGAGCATTGCTTGCAGAGCAAGAAAAGGCTGCCATAACATGTATAGATACAGAAACCCGTGGACGTCTATCTGCTCTACGTCAACAGCAAAAGGAATTAACAACAACAAGATCTCGCATAGCAGGAGTCTGCATTCAGCTGGAAAGTATCCTGGATTCAGAAGACTGGAAGTTACTGAGCAGCGTAGCAAAAGTAAAGGAAGATCTAGCATCCTTAGAACAACAGCATCAGCACTACGTGCAACGTGAACCTGATCTTTTAACACCAGAGTCATCCATCCCTATCATCTTCAGCAGGGTTTGTAATACAACAAACGCCTTCAACCATCAAATCACGCAAGATATATGCTATCTACACATTACAGGATAATCGGGTACACATTGGTACCAAAATCGACATGCGCGTCGTGATCCTGGGCCTGGACGGTGCCGGGAAGACGAGTATCCTCTCAGCCATGAGAGGTACAACCTTATCAACACCACCAATCCCAACAATTGGTTTCAACGTGGAGAGTCTAGAGTATAAGAATCTTGTATTCACCTTGTGGGACGTCGGCGGACAGGACAAATTCAGACCACTATGGAAACATTACTATCACAATACTCAAGCCGTGATCTTCGTCGTCGACTCTAGTGACACATTGCGTTTCGAAGAAGCTCAAAAAGAATTATCAAAGATAGTCAGCGAACGCGAACTTAAGGATGCTCTGTTCTTGATTTACGCTAATAAGCAGGTAACTTCCAAAGTAGCTCATCAACTAAAAATCCTTTCATTTTAATACTCGATACTAACGAATACTTTCCTTTCAATCTCAGGATGTGCCAGGATGTACTAGCGTAGAGGAGTTATCAGATATCCTATCCCTGCAAAAGCTGTGCTGTGGACGAGCATGGCACATTCAAGGATCTTCCCCGTCGACTGACATTACTGGTGCCACACAGGGTCTAGATTGGCTAACGCAACAGCTTGGTGCTCATGAGGCATTATACACAATGTCTAACATATCGTAATTTCTTAATCTGTCAATTGTCTGTCTTTTATAAGAAGTATTGATGGGTTCGTATGCCTTGCAAAAATTAAACCTACCGCATTATACAAGATTTTCTGATGTACGATGCAAACTGCACTTGCGATGAATACTACGTATACATAAATTACTCCCATTAACATTCCATACCAGTTACACTTAATACAGATAATCATAAACCCCTGATATAAACAATTATTTGTCTTTACAATACGTAAAAACGTATTAAGATCTTTCGAAATTATAGACTTTCAGGCAACTCCATTTTACGTCTATAAGTACGAAAACTCGTCATATCGTAAGCTACACCGATTTGTTTACGTGATTAATGTTAATTTATAAGGACATCAAATAAAGTATAAATTAATTTACCATTGCTATATATTATTATTCAATCTAGTGCGTACTCAGGTGTATCTCACGTGACCTAATCAAAGCATGGATACCAAAAATGACCTTAAGGCCAGAAGGATTGTCAGAAGAATAAACGACCTGAGCACATCTAGAAAAGTCTTATGTATTTATTACATGGTTATTGGTTGTTTGATATAATTATCAATTATTATCACTCAGTCATTTTTGCACACACCCATCACTTTTATACTTAAACGCTAGTAGTCGCAGAGCGAGTTACGCGTACACTGTACGGAGAACGAAATAATATATAGCATTATTTAAATTACATTCTTTTCTGAATTACTTTTATGTATATAAAACACACTTGACAAACAAAAACGGAACAACATAGTCTTTTGGAGCTGCGGCAATGGGAGCAAGACTGTGTGAATTTTTTTCATTTCATCAGTTATTCCTATTTTTCTTTCACATTTGTAATACGGCACATACGCTAGCGTTCCTCTCAACACAGTTAGCAAGTAAATACGCACTATCTGGTACTCTTTAGATTAAACCAGGAAATATCAATAGGACAAATAAACAAGAATTGATGAATTAGTACGTACATAGCGAATGGTATAGTATAAATTTAGGCTCGCAGGGTTAATGGCAACAAAATGGCCGGTCATGGAAACGAAATCATTTATCTTATTGTACGTTATCGAATTAATTGAATTCTGTAATAAAGGGCTGGAAATTATTTCAAGTAGTTTTGTCTCTTTTTCACGTCGCCGTTGAGATTTCTTTTTCCCTTATACATTTTCCATCCTGTATATAATGATGATATATAATGGGTATACTCTAGTGATCTATATAAATGTACTACTAGTTCTTTTTAGTTCTGATTACCCTGAACGATGTTTAGTACAAGTATCAAGGGAAGAGATTGGGTAAATGAGAGGCTGCGTGATAACTCCCTGCGTTGATATCCCGTCTAGCATAAGTACCAATATTCAGCGTGACTCTTTTTTAAAGTTATCTTCAAGCTGTGGTGTCGCCTATGCTGAGACAACTGCCTTGTCGTGGCCAGGCAGCTCCTGGAATACAGTCTGTGTTTGTGCCAGATGACACGCGTATTTACAATTCGTCGTGTTCCTGAAACAGATAAGTAGATTTCCGTATGAGTTTTGGTTCTATGGATTAACGAATTCGTAAGCTCTCTATGGAATCTTATTGGAAAATGTCAGCAACGAGGAATTCCAGCTTTTTATCGCTCACTAGAATCGGAATCTCTATTGTCATCATTTTTTGAAGAAATCAAATGTATGAAAGGAAATACTGGGATAGTACGAATCTCGTTTATAAGGGCTTTAATAAATGCTTACCTCTACTTCTGGGACAGTGTTGTCCTCTTCATCTTCATCCTCATCTTCGTCCTCTTCTTTTTCATCTCCGCTTTCCTTGCTCTCCTTCTCTCTCTGCTTCTTTTCCTCCTCATCTTGAGCTTCCTTCATCTTCTTCTCACCCTCCTGAAATGGGAGAATAATAGTCGAAGTTCAAAACTGCTCTTCTTAAACATTCACTGAAATTCTTGTGATACAGGAATTGGTCAGCAACGAGGAATTCCAGCTTTTTATCGCTCATCGAGTTCGGAAGCGCTTTTATCATCATTGTACTGTGAATTGTTATCGCTATGAATTAATTAAATGAATTATACTTACATAGGTGGGTTTCCAGACTTCCTCGCCGAACTTGCGAGCAGCCTCGATGTCATCCGTGATCATGACATTATCGAAAATGGTACCGGACTTAACCTGCCAGAGGTCAAAGCCGATAGCGCAGATCTCATCACGTTTATAAAGCTCAGGATCTGGTGTGTATTCAGGGTTATCGATCTCAGGGTGAACCCAGGGTCCCTTGTAGTTGGGGTTATCAATCTGCTTTGGCTTCCACTCTCCCTTGTAGTCAGGGTTATCGATCATTGGAGCTTCCCACTCGCCGTCCATTTCATCATCCCAATCCTCGGGTTTGGTCGCTTCAGGGTCTGGAATGTGTTCTGGCTTGTCCCAGTCGTCGGGCTTCTTATCATCAGGATCAGGAATGGTAGGCTTGTCGTCCCAGTCATCAGGCTTGCTCTGAGACGGGTCCTTGATCTTCTTTGGGGGCAGGAAGTCCCAATCTGCTTCCAATTCTCCAGATTCGACCACCTCGTTATCGATAAGTACCTAAGTCCAACGAAACTAAATCATTTGTACAATCCTTGAAACAGAAACATGTTTCTATGGAAAACATCGCTCATTATTAATAAACAGCCTGTCGGTCTTCACGGTGTACGTGCGATAAGCAAGTTTTACTTATTCACAAGGAAAATAAAGCGAGACTATCTTTTCTCTTTGAGTATCTTTAGCACATGTCCTCCATGAAATATATTAGGACATGTAACTCTAAGACTCATAGTTCAATCCTTGTTGTTGTAATGGTTATCGCATAGCAACACACGAAGGCTTACCACGACACGTGATACGTTATAATATAAATATGAGGCAGATAAATAATGCATATATTGCGATAAACAGTTTTGATTGATAAGGAATCTAGGAAGGAAATTATTGATCTGTATAAAGGGAAACAATGCAATTACCTGATACGTGTTGTCAGGCTTAACAATTAATGTGTATAAATGAGTATAGACGTCGTCCTTGCAACGAATATCCTTGTTGATTAGGAGATTCTTGCCCTTGTAGTTGAAAATGACATGCACTTTCTTCGTACCGGGTCCACAAATGTCAGGTCCTGTAAGTGCAATTACAACAGTCAATGAAAAAGATTGAAACGTCTACAGCATAGTATTCATTGGATCATTGCCCAGAATATTGTAAAAATTCTGCGCACACTTCCATGTAAACAGCCATAAAATTGTACTTTGACACTATTGGACGACTTCCAAAATTTTTTATTTTCAGTTTACAGAAGAAAAACCTGTATTATTTTTTTTTATTATTCAAGCATTGCATTATTTTCTATATTAAACAAAGAATTTGTTACAGGGTATTGTATCTTCACATGGTACCTGTGATGAGTTAAAAAAAACCAACCCAGGGCATAAGTGAGACTATTATTCTCCGAGTTCCTATAGCACCCATCAACCACGCTACTTAGGCATGACAAGTGACTCTAGGCTCGGTGTACAAATTTAATTACATTTGGGAAACCGTTCTCATCACATGAGTTTTGATGAATCTAAAATGAAAATTTTCTTACCAAACATGAGAAGGTATGGACTGTCTCCATGCATGTCCTTCTGCTCTAGTCCACAATCAAAGACCTTGGCGTAACCACCTCCACAATCAATATTTTGTTCATGCTTGACAGTGAACTGAAGAACAAGAGGTTTATCCTTATTGCTGAATGGAGTAAATTTTCTGCTCAGAGCATAGAACCGGGCATCTTGTGAAGTTTGGATACCTATGAAAAAATATGAAATGATTTATAATAAAAATGAAAAACAATTATTTGTCCATGATATTGTAAAATGTGAGTGTATCTGCACGAGGTACCTAATATATGCATAATTACATATTCAGGGCATATGTGAGACTTGATTTGCTCTCTGAGTTCCTCTAGCACTTCTTCGTCCATAAGGTACGACAAGTGACTCTAGGCTCAGAAACGATTTCAGAAAGGCCCAATCACATCAACATTGGTTAAAATTTAACTAAAGCATAAGTGCCTCACTGACTAGTCACATGGTCAAAATGGCATTCAAATCTTATTTAAAGCTAAACTGACGTACATGCAATCAGGCCTAAATATTTTTTTTAATTAGAAACAAAAATTGACTTTTTTCAAAGGAGTGTAGTGTTTGTTTATACTAATGACTCAATTAAAATAATGACGATACCTTTATCATTTTCGGGGTCGTTCCAAAATTTTCCATGACTCAAAACAAACTTTCCAAATTCCTTTCCAGGATGCTCTGAATAAATCCACTCTTTTTCCCACGAGTCTGTAAAAATAAAATAACACCAAAACCGTCATTGAACAGTAACCTGCAATACAACTAAACAAGTTCAAAATCCAATTGCAAAATAGAATAATAAAAACGACCAAATTCATTAATTACAATTCTCATGATCTTCTCAGGAATTAATGTTAATTTTTCTAAATTCGAAATAACGGAACCGAGAAAAAGATGCCTGATTCACCGTTTAAGGTAATATGTCTCCTCAGCTAGCGCCATATATACATATACCATTCCAACAACGAATCCTCCTGTCTTTAGTTTCTACATCGACAAATATAGCAATCGCTGAAACGCGTGGCAAAGTTAACAAATCATCCCGCGAAAAATATGGTCGCACACGTTCAACGTGCACATCATCACCCTGGTGCATACTAGACTTAAAAAACTGAAAATTTTTCACATCAATGCTGATTCCCGTTAGATCAGAGTCTGATCAAAGTAGTCGAAGCAATTAAAAAAGAAAAAAAGTGTATCTCTGATATTTTTCTGAAATATTTCTTGTTTCCTTTTTGGCTACGTGACTCCGCATGTTTCGAGAATATTCACGATTCTCATAGATTAAAAGAGTTTGAAATCTGTTTGCGCAGATCGCTTCAGCAGGAGATTGCGTGGCCGTTCGTCGATATGCATTACAGAAATGCTGAGCCACGAAGGCATCCACGGCAAGGTTAACGAAACGGCATAATTATATAAATTTTATTAGAAATTCATTGAGAAACAGTTATCTTCAGCATCATGAGAATAGTATGGAAGTATGGAGGGTGTGGTTGCCGGATAAAGGAATTCAGGGTGGTAATTTTACATAGCCTTTCGACAGGCTTGGTAATGGTAGGAGTAATGGTTTTTTATCTTATTATATTGGGTCTTACTTACCATCGAGGAACTTCTCTTCGAAGTAGATGTCTGCGGAGACCAAGGAGATCGCCAAGATAGCGAAAATCGCGCAAAAAGACCGCATTTTGGGCGCCCGGACTGCTAAGCCACTCGACGTACTTCCTACTCGTGCAAAGTACAAGCCGATAATGCCGGAACGCTGGACGTGGTTGGAAAATGTAGCAGTAACCGGGGTAGACAGATGGAAAGCACTGATTGGGTAAATTTTGTTGACCAATCAGAACCAACCACGCTTGACGTATACAGCGCCACGCTCCACGCCACGGAGCACTTATCAAACTGGCTGACATAACGTCACTCATGTATTTGAAACTGATACTGTTATCTATCGTCGATATTGTAGACAATAAATAGAGGTTCGCGAAAATTCGATGAACTTTGCTGGATGTTAGGTACGTTCCGAAATTGCACTGCCAAGACTGCTAATCTAATTGTGTCTCACTCAATTGCATTTAGGTAAACATGGATATAACAATACCCGTAGTACTGGCAATGCATTTGAAACGGACCCATTGAATAGCACGGATGAATGATTTAAAAATAAGTTCCTTATCGGAGGTCCTGTAGGATATCGAGCTATGGAAATGGCTTAAACTAGTTTGGATAATAGCATTGGTAATTAGAGGCAATTTCTGAAATTGATATTCGACATGAATTTAATCTATATATATATAATATGTGGATTTATGTTACAACTTTCGATTAGTATGAAATAGAATGCGTGGCAGCCATTTTCTATGAGAGGAAGCGGATGTGGGAAAAATTATAATCAGTTATGGATTTTATTATGTATTTTAGATACAATAAATAATAAACGTTTGATTTATACAGGCATTTTTCTGTGCTTATTATTTTTTAATTTTTTGATTGACAATGGATTTATAGCTATCTTTAAATACATTGTTTTTTTGAGTGAATAACATTTGTACTGTTGCTGGGACAACGAGTTCGTATACATTATGGCGAATGGTGATGATTTCATAAACGTCAGGGTTGTGAGTTTATACGTCCTTTAGTAAATTTATAGTGTTTCTTTGGTAGATTTGCGAAAATATGCAGCGTTCCAGAGCAACTGCAGCATTGATGCGCTTAAAAGAGATTGACAGAAAATATAAATCTAAAATCCAAGATGAAAATCAATTAGAATCAAGTGTTAGCACTATCAGCACACTTAACAGTATTAGTAATGAAGTGAAAAAGTCAATTCCTGGTTCTGGTGATTCATCTGATACAGGTTTGAAGCCAAAATTAAAAATAAAAATGCCTGATGCTCATATTGAACAAGTCAAAGAAGTTCCTTTTGAGGGTAAAAAGGATTTTTCAGCTATCGCTGTGACAATATTCAATAAAACATCTGAAGAATCCCTTGAGACAAATTCTCCTGTGATATCTGAGGAAGTAAGTCATAACACAACAAATGTTGACAGCATTGGGCCAGCTGGCGAGGGTAATGTCACTGATTCTTTTGAATTAATAAAAAATAATAACAAAGTATCAAGTGATGAAAGATTAGTCACTGAAGTGTCAGAAGACCAGAGTCAGCTTATATCAAAACTATCATCCAGCAAAAATGATCAAATAATTGAAGACTTTGGTATACAAATAGTAGAAAGTTTATCATCTTCACAGAATTTACCTTATACTTCATCTTCTTCAGGGAAGGAAGTTCGTCCAAACACATATTCCAATGATTCATTTGATGAAGAATCTAATAGTTTTCCAACATATGAAAATTCTAATGACAATAAATCATCAGGAACTTCTTCTATAAAATCAGACATGCAGAAAAAGTCAAGTAGAAGTGAGCAATCCCATTCAAAACAGACTGAAGTGATATCTTATAGTCAATATTTAATAAATCGGACAGATACTAAGGATGAAACAAAAATTATAGAGCTTATGTCTCCTAAACTTATTCATACTACTAGTGTCTGTGAAGTGGATCTGAATAAAGAATTATCTCAATACGTTAAGATCACAGAGAATACAGAATCGACAGAATCTATCAAACCAGTTTGTCTATTGAAGTCTCCAAAAGTCTGCATGATACAAAAACCAAAACAGAAGCGATCAGGTCGTGCCAAATCTTCCATGAACTCTCATAAATCAGAGACGACAACGGTTCAAATCATTCCCAAACACCAAACCCACATAAATAACATTTTGTCTGAAAAGACAAATACCAAACAGGAACCAGGAAGTCATTGGAGTTCACCAAAAACGCAATCTAGCAAAGGCTCCAAAATCACATCCAATTCAAAGAAATCTGGAATTCAAAAACGTGGAGAATTGGACATAGCTATTGTACTGAAGAAAAAAGAACAGCAAACAAGAAGTAAAACATCATTGTCAGGAAATGAAACTATAGTTCAAAAAGATGAAAAAAGTCTCTCTTCTATTTATCATCTTAGACAAGAAGACATCGATCACCACACTGTTCAAGAATTTAATCAAAACTTAAAATGCAACCAAAAATTTCCACGGAGTCCAAAGACAGGTATAATTCACACTAAAGAACAAAAGCAGAATTCACATGAAAGTGATAATTTTGATAAAATTGTTTCTTCACACAATCATGGAACTCCTTATGCAATTTACAAAACAGTAAGCACTAAGCCAGTCCCTTTGACAAGAATAAGAGGTATTTTAGATTCTCAAAATATGAAAGTCCACAGAAATCAGACTTTGCGACACAATGCTCAGCAACGACACAGCGACAAAATGGTTAAAAACCGTAATAATGCGAAGAATACAAAATCGGCAAAATCTTACAGAAATTCAAAATCATTAGAAAACGAGACATTAGTGCCACGTCGAAAACAGGACGTGAATCCACTTGAAACTCAAATGACAGCCCTGAGGATGAAGAATAAGCAAAATAATATTCAACTAAAAGTAAGCCGATACATTCAACAGTTTGAAGAAGAGAGAAGAAAATTAATGATGTACCCATTGGATCCTCCGTTCATCCATAAAACAGAATCTTTAGCATTCAAACCTCTAGATTTTCCAAAAATCATCGAATTCACTCGACCTGGTAATTTGACGGAACGTGCGAAGTAATTCAACATCATTTTCCAAAGTACAAGATTAAATTTATCAAGTTGCATGTCAACAATAATGGGAAACTATATTAAACGAAAATCTGTACTCTTCACTAGATAAAGATATAAGCAAATTCGAGTAATGTGTTTCTCTACTGCTTATAATGTGTTGAAATTCCTTATTAAAAAATATTCGTTGAAACTAATTAAAATCTATATCACTTACATCAAACATCATTGGCAGCTGTACAAAATTCAATATTTTCGCGCCTGGCAACTGTAAACCCGTCATACACCGAGCACGATTAAACAGCTAATACAATTTTTACATATTCTTTGTTTGTGGAATTTTTTTGTTTTTCATGGTAAAGACAAGCAACTCGGTAGGATAAACATACTTGGTACTAGGACAAGCTATAAGAGATGCCTTTATAGTGTATTCTCATGTATCCCTTGCCGCTTGAAAAGTGACGATCCAATTAACGACTCTCTATTTTGTCTTTAGATATAGCGGAAATGTATTCGAGTTTAAAGCTGCCTTCTGCGGTGGACTATCGTAACGCACTTCGCATTCGAGTTATGGAAATTCGTGAGTGGTTGAAAGATCAATTCACGTTATATCGTGACTACAGCAGTCTTATCTCGACAATCAATTCAAATTACATCCCCACCACGTTGGAAGATGCAAAAAAGGTGGGTTTGTCTCATTTCGTGGTTAAACGTTTAATTATTACATAATCCGTACATGAACGTCTAACGTGATTGTACAAATTATCATATGGTGACTGTCCTTAAGTATTTAAATATACACCCTCTCTCTATACATACATGTATATATATATATACAGAGAGCGAGAAAGATCTAATTCGACCTCGAACAAAGAGCTCTTCCCGTTCAATTGATCAATAATATAGAAATGAGCAGAAACGTTATTAGCATTGCTAGATTTTCTTAGAAGCTTATAATGAACCTAGATGGTTCCTTCAAGAAAGAATCTCGCACAGATGCAAGGATCCTCGAGAGGAAGTTATTTGGGTTAATGATCATAATAGTAAATCTTATGAATAAGATTCAATTCTATGTCTGAGAACAAGGACAATGAGGATGTTGACACTAAGGAACAGGATTAAAGAAATAAAATGCATAACCTGGAAGCAATGAAAATGTAAAAACTTTTTTCTGGAATAAGGAAAGTCTGAATATTTCTTTCCCTATTGGCAGATCATTCAAGAAGTGCAGCAATCATCCAACAGTAGACGTAATCGACACCGGAAATGATTGCTGGATAACGCTGCAACGTGGTAAGTCATTAAAAATATTATTTCCTTAAAACCCTACAGTTATCACTTGTAATCAAGTAATTCCGAAACTTTTAAACCGGTAATTTCTGCATTATAATTAATTTAACCTATCTTGTAACAAAATTAACTCAGTATGAACTTGAATGCTGGACATTTAGCGATGACCCGTATGAAGTTCGTCATATTGAAACTCACACGCTTCTGATTATTATAAAGAAAATGTCGCGCACAACCCCCATAGTCGATGTTGGCGTGTTGCGCGAGAATGGATGCGCGTTAAAGCAAATCTCGCGTGGGACAACCTGGTAGCTTTCATTGACTTACAGTTCTGAACGAACTCTTCGCGGCATCGGACCTTCTCCATACGGCTTTCTCGTGCAAACGAATATCCCGCTATTGGGAAGAACCTCTAGTGAGGCGCGAAGAACGCGCAAGAAGAATAACTTGTAACTAATCCGTTAAAAAAGAAACGTAATTCATTGATTGACAAACGGTCTCCAAGTGATAGCGTGTGCCAAGGAAGAAAATTTTACATCCAGGAAAATAGCACGCTAGGTGTATCGCGCAGCTCATCGCTCCCCTGGTAAGCATCATCCTCGGTATAATTAATTTTGTGTACAGTCATTAAAGGAGCTACCAAGAGCGTGTGTAAAATTATGAGCATTCATCATGAAAACAGGGTCTCTGTGTATTCGTAGAAATGTGGGTCTTACGAGTAGCTTTCGAGTAGCTAATTATTGTACATTATATTCTGAAGCAGGAAGTTATTCTGTTTTTTCGAGAGAGAGAAAGAGAGAAGATAATTTGATTTATTAAATTTGCAGCTCGAATTTTGTTTAAGTATAGAAAAAGAGACGCTTGTTTTGATTTTTGTTAGAGATACAACCGCTTGATGATCAATACTATGATGCAATGGATGAATGACTAATCCTTGGGGAAAAATACGGAAACCAGTAAGCGGTTGATTAATCGGCATCCTAACGAGATTCAACCCCTCGTAACAGGAGGTCGAACAATGACTATCGATTGATCGATAAGTGAGACTATCGATGCTTATCTGAAAGGACGGAGTAGTTTCTGACACAGTCGATTATACGTTCTCTAAATGTGTTTTTGATGGTCCTACTTATCATGACTGTCAACAATCAGTGCAGGCTGACCTTTATCCTGAGGTCATTATCATTCAGAGAACGAAGGGTGTTTAGAGGGGATGATAATATACTTGCTTTTAATATCAGTGTAACAGATAGTACATAATTTTTCTGAAAATATGCACAAACGACATTCGATACCAATCAATTTTAAACAGAAAAAAATTAGAAACTTTGATTTACAGTCCTGACAATGAGATGGATGCTGGTCGCGAACTTGAACTCTGACCCATGACCCCTTCTATAAGGATACCTATAAATATCGCTCTCGAGGACAATATATAAATTTACTCTATATTTTTTTTACCATGACAGAGGTCACTCGTGCACGACCTTACAAATTTCACACTCTGCCGGGTTCCTCACGGATTTTCTAATGACAACGTAAAGGTTAGCCAAGAGGGACCTTTGGCAAAGGTCAGTGCATCATTATTCCGTCAGGTCGTGGACAGATGTGTGGTCACCTATTTATAATAATTCCTGTCCGATGGCCGTCAGGATTTGTACCTCTTGCTATAATGTGAATTCATACGTATCGCGTTTGGCGACTAACTTAGCACGTCTTTATTCCGTTCAATTAGACGAATTTGTGTCTACGATGTACGAATAACTACAGCATGGTTATTCGACTGTGTTAAAAAGAAAAAAAAAGAGAAAAAAGAAAGGGAAAAAAGAACAAGCTAAAAAGGAGAGTCAGTCGGAGACGCCATTGTTCCTTTAGAGGGCAGAGTACGGAAACAAAGAACAATTCAGAACCGTACACACGCTCGGCGGACTTCATATTAATTATCCGACAGTAATCTATATCTCTGTATATCCCCTAAAATGCAAAGTTCCTTACGTTAATCAAAATCTATCCGTAATCGAAGCTTCCCTTTCGTTGTTAATCGTAGCCAACAGGAAATTAGTAAGACACGTGACTCACATAGTCGTCACGTGGGATTCCTCGCGTTCTTAGGGGATACGAAGAGAGATTTAAGATTTGAGAATTAGAATTGACGCTTGTAATATTATTGTGAACGTTGTCATAATTATGTATTACCTAAATATTATAATTATGTGCAAGGTGATGTTTAAGAATGGAGTATACTAATTTGCGCGAAAATATAAGTCATTGTGTGTATCACGTTCCAAAAGATGGCGTCTGGTCATTTGCCCTTCATAACTACGCGAGTCGGCATTCTGTCACGAAAATAGAGTTCGGGCACATAAAAGCTGTTGAGATGAAAGGCCGCACGGCTGAAACACGACGAGCAAGAAGAAAATGGCTAGACCATCCACCATCGCCAAATTGTTTTGTTCCCCGTCGTTCCCTAGTGTACCGCCTTTTACTTTACATCCTTCTTTTCTGTTTCCGCTCGTTCTCGTTCTAAAAATACAAACCCGCCGACCAAGACAGTTTCTCGGAAGTCCGATCCATCTCCCGGTCCGGACAGTCTTTCGTGACACAGCCTTGAAATGAAATCCTGATAATGTTTAGCCACATTCAGCAACATCAAAAAGGATAACTAAAAACAGAAAGAATTATCAGGACGCTCACATACAAACAATACACAAAGGTGTTTACAACTCCTCGTAAAAAGCTATCAGTAAAAAGCTATTTGGTGTCTGTCACGCAACATGGCAGCCTGGGCTGACTGTTAATTAATTTTGTTGTCCACCAGATGACAGGTAAGGCTTCTGAGCAAAGAGTGTCGTCAAACCCGCAACACTGAAAGGGAGAGAAACTGAATGACGAGGGTGTATCGCTTCTGGTTTCTAACCGATTGCGTTTATAACGTCACACGTTTATGTGTATATATATGTATATATATATATGTCTATATACGTGTCTATATACCATTGCTGACGGTGGTCATGGTGATACTAGCTAGTAAATAGTACCGTGGTGCCTGGTGACGCTGTTGATACTGGTGGTGGTGGTAACTATGGTGGCGAACACAACGACCGAGAGCAGTTAAAGCCGCGCCCCCACGAGTTGCCGTCGGCGTCATCGACCACCATGATCCCTGTTTAGTCTCTCCCCGGCGTTCTCCGCTCTCTTCTCCTTTTTCTCTCGATCCGTCGTCTCTCGTGCACCCTCTCAAACTTGCCTCTCGCTTTCGCACCGGATCACCTTGGTGCACGGCACTCGGCCGGCTTTACCTCCCGATCGGATCGCATAAACCAACATAATATACGCCTAGCGATAGCCTCGACGGTTATTCTCATTTCCCAATCATCCACCAGTCCCGAACCTACCTCCGAACAGGTCAAAGCACGTATTTTCTCGTTTGGTATTTATGATTATACTTCGTAAAAATGTATCATCACACAGTAAATACCTGAAACAGTAGCTATCAACACGAATTAAATACCGAAGCGACGTGCCGCTAACCAAGAACGTCGTACGTACTTCGACCAGCTAGTAAAACCTCAGTTGAAATCGAGTTTTACGGATCCCCGGACTATTAGCAACGGTCGTTACACGTACCCGATGCTTTGGAATTTCTTGACTCGGCACAGGCTTGATTGCCATTTGTAACTGCGACTTATCGCGCGTGGTGCTTTCTGACACCGAGATAGTAAAGCCACCCGCAAATCTAGGACGGGCAGGTTTTCATCGATAGTTAAGCGATAGGCCGCCAGAGAGCGACAAAGGCAACCGATGACAGCGTCATTTGAAATATTCAGAAACTAGCCACTGGAACAAAGAGAAACTACCGGACACCGAAGGAGATCTTAGGCAACCCGTGAATTTCGTAATAACTGTCGGCTAGTGCATTATGGGGTATCTCTGTATCTGCGCGTGGGGATTTTAGGCCCGGTATGGAGATACAGCGTGGGTGGGTTCTCTATTACGAAGTTGAAACTGGTTTTATAGAGGAAAGTCGATCGGTCACGATCTGTTGATCGATTCTTCACCGAATCGATATATATCGACCTTAGTTGATGACAGCTCGAAGAGACTCGCACAACCTAACCTATTATTTGTCTGTAATCATCAACGTACAACATCTGTCTTAAACATATGCCTAAAACGCATTATCTGTCAGATAATAATCTGACATGCAAAGTGACAATAGGCATATGTAAACAAAAACAAGTCACGCCAAAGCTCCGTATAGTCAAAGAGAAGACACATCCCTATATTATACGTTGTTCACAATGGGTATGTAAATACAGCTATTCGCAACGTTGAATATCGTATCAAAATCTTGTTCATGTGAAATCGACGTTGCTCCTCGTACGAATAAAATTTAACGTGCGATCGTTTCGTACACAATTGTAAACCCATGCCACTAACAATCACGTACGATCTTGACTTGGTTCTTTCATTGCTTTTAAACCGTTTAGGCGATATACTGGTGCAAGGTGAACCCGTTTTCAATCCGGTATTCTCTAACGTGCTCTTGGCCATCGGTGAACTTCGTAACGTACTGAAAGAGCTTTCTGGTAATTTTTTTTTTGTTTAAAAAACACAAAATGAATATTACCTCTCGGAAGTATCAATATGAAGATCGTTATCGATTTTCTTAGTCTTCCTTATACACGTAACCATTTTATTTACTTACCTGGCTTGTTGGCATCAGCTACGAGGCTGAGAGTATACTCGTTCGTATCTACCTGGCTATACGGTACGACATGAGGACAGGACAACGGGAGTCTGCCGCGAGGTGAAGACCGCGTGCAGGTTGCATAACGGTCCGCTCGGCAGCGTCTCAGCATCCAGTACGTAGCATCGGATGTCCAGCTAAGAAAATATTATCCGCTATTCGATTTTCTTTTCGTTGAGGACTTATCGATACGTTTAACGCGACCTGACTAGATGAGAAAAATCGTTATGAAGTTTGTCTTGGGAAAGAACAAGAGAGGAGGACGAGATTTATTACGTGGTGTGTATGTATAATATGGTTTTAAAAACCGGTAATCCTCAAGGCTTCCGTAATAACCCTCCCACCCCTATCTGTCTCCCCTCCCTTATTATCTCTCTCTCTCTCCCCTCCCTCTCTCTCTCTCTCTCTCCCTCTCTCTCTCTCCTCTAACTGTTGGAGACCTGCCAGTTAATTCGAAGCATCTTGCGTATCGTATGTGCCGGTAATTGGTCGACTTCCTGTACTTAAAACCTCGTCCTCAACTTCTTTTTCGTCCAACAGTAGCGACGGCGCTGCCCTCTCTGGGCACAGGAAATCGACGGAGTTCCGGAGAACGTGGTACCATTATGTATACTCCTAAATGGACGTCTTTGAGCTATCTCCTATGAACTATTCCAATTGTTTGCGATCTTTCCTGTGGATACCACCAAGCGGGGAGATCTTAATGGCGACAAAAACTATGACTCCTGGGTGCAGATTGCTTTACTCTGGGTATAGAATGTTACTACCGGTCGTCTTGGATTCTCTACTGGAGTACCACGAACTAAGATTACTTGCACGTACGTACTGTACACGAGTGTCGGTATCGTTAGTGGTTACCATGGTAGGAAGTATTCCAGTTGGTCTCGTTCTGGGACCTGCAGGTCGAGGAAACCTAACCTAACCTAACTTAGCGCGCGTGGTCTCGGTTGTATGTATTAGAGTATTTATTGGCTTTAGGATAGTCAATATTAATTCTATTGGTAATTAGAAAAATAGTGTTAGCATAGTAACTTTGGAACTAAGTGTATCTTACGAATTTCGGGTCTTAGTTTGTTTTTAATGTTGGGTTTTACTAAACGAGCTACAATTTTAGAGATTTTTTTTTTACTAATTATCTTTCCACCCCTTGGACCCACCTGCGTTATTTACCGCGGTGCCGGAATACTAGTTAAATGATATCGCATCGAGACGATCATTCGGTACCGCGTAAACGCACTGGCAGAATCTGTCGTCGCTGTAATTTCCCCAGCATTCCGCGCGACGATTTTATTGCCATGGAAGTTATACTCGGAATCGGATTAATGAAAGATCGATAAAGCGATTAAACTAGCCGGCTCGTAACTTAAAGCGTTGCAATCCACGCACAGCCGAGGCCAATTAAGCTCTCGACTAAGAAAATTCTCGGTGTATTACAGTGCTAAGGTGACTTCAGGGGGCTTTCGATTACATTCCGTAGATGGTACGTTATTCTTGTTTCATATTTAAAGAAAAAAAAAAGTAAGTTACGAGAAGCGAAAAGAATTTCCGTCGATTTTCGACTTTGGGATTAAGTCACTGTTCACGGAATACTCTTATAACTGGTTCCGGGCTAGAATTATTATGCAACAATAATTGATTCGCTGTTGTAATACTTAATTAAAAAAAAGGGGTAGCGTCATTATCGAAAATCATTGAACCCGTGCAAAAGATGCCTGCAATAATTTAGCTGGAATGAAAGAAAAAGAGAAGCGGACAAAAGTCCTACCTCAGGCTATGACTGTGTGGTGCTTGAGAAATCGAGGAAATGCTACCAAGCGTGACCTTTGCCCTTACCAATTGCCTTTGGTCAACGGTACCAGGCACAACAACAGCTGTCTAAACCGTGCATCCAGAACCGTCGTTAAATCTGGTAGAATTACCAAGGCGGGACCAGCGATCAAGGTTCAATCTGTCGAGGTCAGACGGCCATCGTTTTTCCACTCTGTTAGCGCAGTGTTCTGCGTCACATGAAAAGGTGCACTTTGTTTGTGATCTCAACCGTTGTTGGTATTTGGAGTCGTGCGAAGGAGGGTTTCTCGTGTGTAGGGAAGGAGGGAGACCGAGACCCGCATCCAAGGCTGATCCTCCCACTGCGAAGAAATTACATCCCTAACCTGAACAGCGTTCTGAGTCATACGGCCTAAATAACGAATGTTGTCATGTAAAAATAGAGGAGAAAAATCCTTTTTTGTTTTCCTTCTGGAACATTCATTTGATTATCACGACTAAGGACGGTACGCGTGAATAATTGCTTAATACGATTTTTAAATCTTTTAACGGTTTTCGATGTTGGCGGGAAATTCGAATGTACCTACCTTTATTCTCGAGAAGCGTGCGAGACGTTTCTCCGACGCTACTACTCGACAGAGCCAATCGTTAGTCGACGAGGAGCGATTGGCGAAAAGAATAAATCGCTCGAGCGGAAGAATCGGTAAGAGGAAAAAAACAAGTCGAGTCAAGGCAAGTCAAGATGACTCGTAACCTTGTAGTTGCTGATGCTCATCTCCTATCTCGTCGTGTCGGTATACGTTTGAATCGTCTGACCGGTAACTGGACGATTAGGTAGGAGCAGTAGTTAATACAAGAATTTAATATCGGCATTGATACTCATAGATACTAACAGCGCGACCAAAAGATATAGGTATACGAAAATCTCAGCTAATCGAACTCTCAAGTATCGATCGGATACCAGAATACAAAGAAATCAATGAGACTTGTTATCGATTTTCAAAAATGAGCCTGAAATTTTTCCACGACCAAATTTTTACGTACGGAATCCCTTTTTCCGGCTGTCTCGTGCTTAACAGCGACGCGGCCAATCTTCATTCCACTTTCCAACTACGTGTTAACCGCGAACCTTCACCGACGATTCTCGACGTATAATTGCGATTATAATTTCGCGTTGCGCTATTGTTTACCGTAATGGATCGAGGCCGCGGATACGCTATAGAAAACCGCGCCAGGAAGAGTTTCTCCGGGTTGTAAATGAATACGGGGATAGGTACTATGTCTGCGGCAAGAAACTTGCGGATGCGGCATAAGGAGATACATCGAGATACATACACAACAGCCGCTATAAGATCACGCACGCTTCTTAATGTTCATTCTCAAAGGTCACGTGGTCGTGTCGCAATAACGTCGATTAGTAATTTTGCAATTCGCGGTCATCTGTCCCTCCCCCACTCCCTCCCATCACCCTCACCCACTCTTGTACAATCTCCTCACTCCGGAATCACTGAATGTACCGCAGAAGTAGATTTTCTAGAGATCCTCGTTTCATTTCTTTTAATTTTTACATACATGTATATATATACATATATGTATAATGGACAACATCTCCTGGTAATGGTAGCCTTCCTTGGATGTCGGTCACCCTTGGAAAAAGAAATGAGGAAGGCTGAAAGAGTGATAAAAAAATATATATATATATATACACGCATGTTTCATTGTATTTTCTCTTATAAGAGATCGTAAAACCAGACATTTTGATTCCGAGCAAACAAGCAATTCTTAGAGGTTGCTGAATTTTTTACATTAATCTTCATGGCTCCATGTTCATAATGAATTCTCGTTTGAGGCGAGTAACTTCCTAATGTTCAAAATTCATCGGACAGACGTAGTCGACTGATCAGAGAAATTAAATATATTCCGCTGTCCATTATTACAACATCGTTTTTATTAATGTTTTTCGAGTCACGCGCTTCTCTTGGCAAAGGGTCTCTGCCGGTATCATAAATGTAATATCGTTTCACATTTATCCAATCGCGAAATATTTTCGTCACGTTAATATATCCTGGCGCAATTGTCTAACGTATCCTTGTACTTTTTGTCTCGTTATCCTTTAAAAGATTACATCACGCGAGTCATTGATAGAAGCGTGTGCGCACAAATGGGGAAAGTCCTAATGAGAATTAAACTTTGATTTTCCGTGTTAATTTCCCTTTCAGTCTTTCATACAATTTTAACACACTCGATACAATCGAGTGTCTAATTAGCTTGGAAGAATTAATCGTCTAACGCTCATACTAATTTGTTAAATATATATTGTCTATATATACATATATATACATCTGTGTGTGTATGTTAAAGCACGCCTACGCCATATACTCTATACTCGCCATATACTTCCTACGGCATAAAAGTACCGGCCGGTTACACTTTTCTCTTATGTAACGCCGCTCCAAGTTTCTGCTCGGCCTAGCGTGGAGGCTGTCTTGCCAGATAGCACCAGGAGCTCCTAAACCAAAGAGGGCATTGTCTGACGCTTTCGGTGCTACATCCACTCAGACTCGATTGGCCGATGGTACCTACAGTATGCATATAGATATATACATACAGTGTACACACAAGTAGAGAAGGTATAAGCTAAGACAGGCTGCAAAAATAGTGACTCGCCGAATCGGAACAGGACTTGCTCCACTGCGTGAACACCCTGGGCTTTGTGTATATATAGAAATAATATATGTATCACAGTACAGTGTATGTATAGTATACGTATGGGAGGTCGCTATGAACTCTTTGAGTCATCAAGGAGATCTAGATTCGACGTGCGACTTTGAAAAAGCGCCATCTATACTGTAGTGCCATTAATTCTTTTTTCTACTCGAATTAATTATTAAAGCAGCTACGTCGTTATTGTTCTAGAAATCTGGACGACGCCTACGTCTTTTTACACAAAATTATGATATACGTCCTTTTCGGAATAAATCCGTGGACTTGATTTTTATTTTATTATGTCTTGCTTTTTTTGGTTGTCGTTGGTAACGAGAGTCGGCGAAGACAACACAGTGACTCAAGTGTGGTAATCGACTGTTACCTCTGCAACTACCGATCCTCTCTCAAGCAGACTCACCTTTCACCCTGGACTAACTGTACCTCGTGAAATGTACCGAGTGTTTATACCGGCGCGACGATTTTAACTCCGGTAGAACCTGACGCTGGTTAGGCAGCCGAGTGTGGAGGATTTCACGAATTGGAACAGTCCTCTTGCAGTAATTGGCGAAAGATTGTAGAACGGATCGGCTCGAGTGGCTTGACTGACTGACTGATATACACCAGGCCAGGGTTCATTCACGTAGAAGACAGTGTACTCTGGTTTAACAGCCATCCGGTGCACACACTTGGAGCTGGGCAAAGACAGTACCTGTTTGTAAGAGTCGATTAATTTAACGCTCGATAACGCACAAACAATTGGGATCGTGAAAATTCCCTAGGAGTCAGTCACTAGGGGATTGA